GTGGACTCATATGCAATGTCATATATATTATGATTTTTTCTATTTTTCTTTGTAAATTTAAATTAAAGTGAAAGGAAGAGTCACTTACCTAATACTTCACTGTAAAACTGTTTCCAAAAATGAAAGTCATAATCCTGGATCCAGAAGTCGAAGAAAACCGAAAGCATTGTATTTTTCACTCTTTCCAGAAAAGTCATTCTGTCAGTTAGTCCTATCATAGGGACAGGCACATAGGAAAGTGGAACTGGGAGTTTTCCACACACTCTCTCCATATTGCCTCCCAAAGACGCTCTAAGTGTGAGCACAAAGGGCACTCCAAGCAATTCAGCCACCAGGTCCCCACATGGCAGCGTGGGGTCGATCACCATTACATTGTAGTTGGATTCCTGCAGCTTTTTCATCAGTGTCTGATTGTAGACAACACTCTCACACACAAGTTTAAAATGTCCCTTCATTTCAATAAGGAAATCATTCGTTTTTATTACTGATTGCCAGGAAGGTAAGGCTGGCAAAACATTAGCAACTAGGTCTGGAAATTTTTTTTTTGGATTTTCAAAGTACATTTTGTCAGATGGCATAGGGACCACCTCAAATTTTAGTGGAGAAGGTGCCTGGTAATCAAGGAGAGTGGTCTGGGGCTGGGTCAGCACCGTCACTTCATGGCCCCTCCTGGTGAGCTCCTCCAGGATGCACTTGGTGTTGAGCCAGTGGCTCATGTCACAGGGCCACACGAGGACCTTCCCGCCGAGCCCACCAGAGCAGCAGAGCTGCAGCAGCAGGACTGCCAGCACACAGCGCCGGGAAGCCATGACCATGACTCCTCGCGGGGTCTGCAGGTCTGAGTGTCCACTGAGCAGAGTTGAGAGGAACTTTAGGCATGGAAGTTAAAAATTAATTTTTAAGATTAAAGGTCATAGGTTCTTTGCAAGTTAAATATTCATTGAAAGGAATCAAACATATGCAATGTCTCAGTAAAGTGTTGATTCAGCATTCTAGAACTTAGTAATAAAACACATTTATTACCTATATAAGTGATGAAAGAATTAAAAAAAATTATAGTTAATATTTCACACACAGAAACATACACACACTAACATACATCCAGTCTACACTAAGTGCAAAGTGCCAGAAGTGTTAGGAGAATACGCATTCCCTATCCCACACCCTCAAGGACCATGTGCTGCTTTAATGGTAACACACTGGACACCTTAAGGGGAGGGGAAACTTGCCCTGTCCCCCAAAAGTTAGTTGTGAGATCGAATCACAGTTCAGACAGATTAATAAAAGAAAGAGTTTATTTACCATAGGAATGGCGAGAGTTACAGAGTGATCACCTGATATTGAGCTACCTGGACTTGGGAAAACAAAGATTAATATTCAACTGCTGGCTATCAGAATGGTAAAAGTTACAAGGTTTCTTTTTTTTAATTGTAGGCAATAGATTTAATCTCATCAATGCTTAACCGAAATGTATTACATTTGTAAATGTATCATACAGCATTTTCTTTTTCTTTTTTTAAATTTCAGATTAATACAAGGGTACAAACAATAGGTTACAATTTTTGCATTTGTTATGTGGAGTCCTTTTCCTAGTTGTGCCCCTCACCCAGAAGGTGTGCCATACACACCCACATTGTGCCCCCTAGCTGAGAGAGCACCAATTCCCCTGCTTCCCCTCCCTACTAACTTCAATTGAATTGAATTTTTCTCTTATGGGGGTGTGTACTAGATCATCTACTGGCTTTCCATTAGTATGGAGTATAGTGGACAGTTGCTTTTCCATTCTTGTGATATTTTACTGCTGTGCCTAAATTGCAAGTCATAAAGGAAGAACACTTGAGATAAATTTAAAAGTGACACAGTCCTTTACTTAGATAGATTGACCCACTGCCAAGACAGACAGCAGCCAAGCTTTCCCAGCTTTAGCGGTTGGAGGTGTTAAAGGGGGTAGAGGTGCAAGGGGGGAGTGAATTCAAGGATTCAGGACTTTCTAGGTATCTAGCAAGCTGAGCAAGCTTGTTTACAGAAGTGGAACTTGGTGGTTATTGTGAGTAAGCTCAACCTGCTTCAGGTGCTCCGTGGAAATTTCCACTGAGTGTCTAACCCAGGG